GGGTGGAATGTTGGCGGCAGACTGGAGACGATGTGTTCTTTAACCAGCGTTTCTAAGCACTTCATCATGATGAGATCCTGGATCTTCTGGCTGTGGTTCTGCTTCGCTGGTCTGATGGAATTGTTCCAGTTGGCTCTCACTGTCTTCAGAGCCTCTCTGTCGCCACACTTGAAAGCTGAGTTTTGTGCTTTTAGTGATTTCTGAACCTCTCCATTTATCCAGGGTGGTTGGTTGGCCCGGGTTTGTGATGCTGATTTCCTCAATGCATTTGTTTATGAAGGCTGACACAGTCCTGGCATACTCTATTTAACTTATAGTCAGAGCATTATCTTATAGTGAAGTTTCTCCATGGCCGACTTAGATGTCACTCTGACCTGCTTTGCTGTAAGTTGCTGATCAGCTGGGACCTGTATGCAGGAATTAGCATAACAAATGATTTGGTCAGGATGAAGGCGCAGCAGTTACCAAACTCCCTCTCTGAAGAGAGTTCGAGTTTTAGATTTTTTTGTTGTCCACTGAATGAATGTTGAAGAGCAGCATTGAGGGGATTGGCGGTTCGTAGGGGTTCACTTTTAGCTTTGCTGTTAGCCCACCTCTGCTGCCGCGCTTTGACCACGGCTCGCGCTGCCCTTACTTGTTCCTCCTGCAGTGGGTGATACTAGGCGACTCCACTGGATTGTGGACCTGTGGGCCATGTGCTCAAAGCGCTGCGGATCTACTTAAATTATTGACAGTATTTGTATTTACAAGTCGAGAAAAACTACTTGATGACTGTTGCTCCAGCAGGCGCTGATAGTCATAAACTAACCTACTGGATCGATGCATAAGGATGCAGCTGCTGTTATCACAGTGCCCCCATCTTGTCTTCTTATGCCATATATATCATGTACTCATCATCCAAAAACGGCTCTCGGGGCAGCAGCTTCAGCAGAGACTCCCAGACTTCCCTCCATCCAGACTCCTCCTCCAACAGAAAGACATAGTCCCTCTATGGGGTCCGTGTCGTCCTCCTAGTGGTGTGTTCCTGGAACGCCTCACAGGAGGATATAGAGGTCTACAGATTCAGTTTAATACTCTTTAATCCACTACAGTCAGTTGTCTAATCAAAAAGCAGGAATTGATGGTGCTGCAGTAAAAACATTTATTCAAACAACATAAACTTGTCCAGATTTACAGCCTTTAAATGATAATCATTTCTTCGCCTGTTAATATTTGATCCTGTTTTTCTGTATAACTGTGAACTTTTCAGAACACGGTGCAGAGCGCTCAGCGGTTCCTTCTCAGGAGTCAGTCTCACAGATGAAAGTCTGACAGGTAAATATGTTGACCTGACTTCATCTTCCAGAAAGCCTAAAAAATATTTACTTCACAAATTCTCTTTATTTTCAATCAAACATTGATGAAAAGCAAAGATCCCCACAGATCAGCTTTGTTTGATATCAGTCACACCAGTCATGCTGTTCTTCTCCAGCCTAGACAGTGAAGTGAGGCTCCACCTTCAGACACTGCGGCTGATCCTCTGCACATCTTCAGCTGCTGGTTGAATCCAGTGTTTAGTATCTTCATCCTTCTTATCATCATCATCAGCTGACTGAAGCATTTCTATCTAAAAAGATTGAACTGATGGAACCAGGAAGTAAAGCAGAACATGTATGAGCCTCATATGAACTTATAATCAACATTTTAACTGCGAATAAAACGAACAACCCCTCTGAACTGAGATCCATGTGTCCCTCATTCTATCAGAGTATAACTGTGCAGATATTGATAGTCAGAATGTAACCTGCAATTAGTAAAGGTTTTACTTTCTGAACATTATACCTAAAATTGTCAGAACTTTGGACCCAGAACCGAGTGGATTCCAGCCGGATTATTTCCCACAGTTCCCACAGTTCCCACTGTCCAGACAGGTCCAGGAACCAAAGCCCAGGCTGCTGAACTGGCTGACAAGCAGAAGCAAGCGGACAAAATTAAGCAGGAGTTTCCAGAAGGTGAAGCCAAAGCCGGTGTCGATGAGGTACAAAGGAGTCACCGAAGGAAAATCCAAGTTGGGGTCAGGAGAGAGATCCGGGGTCGTAAACCGGCAGAATCCAGGTCCCAGTTCTTTGGGACCGGAATGATGGAGGCAGACTTAAAGCATGCTGGCACACTTGATCGGTCCTGCCAGGTGTTTCAAAGTCAGGTCAGCAGTTCCTTGAACACCCACCCCGGTATGTTATTGGTCCCTGGGGCCCCCCGGGTTCACTCCCCTTAGAGATTTCCACATGAAGGGCCAGGCTGTATAAGGGCCAGAGCCGCCTCCCTCCCCCTCTAGAGGAGGCTGAGCTCCTCTGGAGTTATCGGGCCACTGATTCAAACCTTCTCTGACTCTGTGGAGGCATCAGCCCTCCTCTACGCTGTCGTCTGCTGGGCCCCTGGCAGCGCAGAGCGGGACACAAAGAGACTGAACTAACTGGCCATTTCTGTCCCAGGCTCCAGTCTGGACTCAGTGGACTCAGTGGCTGAGAGGAGGGTGCTGTCCAAGCTTCCATCCATCATGGACAACACCTTCCAATTCAGGAATGAATGAATAGGAATTGATTTCAGACAACTTGACAAACAATAAATTGATCAACCAAATACACACAAAGAGACTAGTTAACATCAACCAAACCAAACGCCAATTTCCAAACTAACTTATTCAATCTGGACATAAATAGAAACAAAATTCTCCATCAGATAAACCATTCGGTATAAACAGGTAAATGATATTGATTAATGGTCTTAAAAGGCGAATGAAGAAGTAAAACTTATCATTTATACCCCTCTCCCTCTAGTTCCACTTAAATTTACTTAAAGTAGAGTAACCTTCCTGTTAAACTTGTTTTTGTTTTCCAATATTCAGAAAAATATATATATATANTGCTGACATTCAAATAATGGAGGTCTATGGCGCCCGAGGCAGAAAGGTCCATAAAAGTCCACAAAAAACGTGTCAATATTCCTCCATACTGCTCGTATGGAGGAATATACCCAAATGCCTGCTGGTCCTTACCAGGCTCCTACATTTATAGAAAGTGGACGGCCCACATTTTTTCCTGTTTTACTTAATAAAGAAAGAAAAATGACGAAACAACAAACAAATACACAAATTCAACAACTAACCCATAAATAAACTCTGCAAATAACACAAAAAATATATATACATTTAAGAATAAAATAAAGTTCAAATGGACAAAGTAAAAAAGAAAATTAGATCCAACAACAACTACCCAAAACATTCATCCAAGTTATATCAAAACAAGCGCAGGAAAAAATAAAAATAAAATTTCACACTACAATTGGGAAGACCTTTCAGAGGAATACTGGATTTCTGCTGCAGAGAATGCTATGGAGTCATCGGTTTGGATTTTATTTCCATCCATCTAAAGATCACTGAAGCAAAGCAGTCAGCAGAAACGATATATGACACAGGAATGACGAAAAAAAACAACTTCCAAGTGGGTGTCCTATTTCAGGAGCTGAGATGGTCCTCACACACATACATATAAGAATAGACTCAGCATTTACTGTTGTAGCACAGAAATTACGGGCGCCTTCTTGAGGAGGTCTACCTGCTACCCTAACCTGCTTTGTGTAAATGACGGACTGTAACAGCAGAGCTTTGTTAGACATTACTGAATAAACATTTTTTATATATTTATTTATATAAATGTATTTATTTATATATAAATATATATATATATATAAATAAGGCCTATATAGAATACAAATTGTCTTTATTGTCCCATAATGGGTAAATTGTGTTACAGCAGCTAAAGATTACTGCTAAAGTGGTCACACAGCTGTGGACCTTGAAAGTGTATAAAAATAAGACAATAAGTGACAGAGTAAAAAATAAAACTGTGCAGTGTTTTTAGGGATATAAATACACTGCATATGTAGAATAGAACAGCCTGTTTTCCAGTGTAGTCCTGTTTCTCTGACTGTGACTAACTGGATGTGCTCTCTTCATCCTCTGACATGGGAGCTGGCTTGGAGCTCTT